TGTTATTATTATTCCAGTATATATATAATCTATATACTTTGGCTTATACTGAAAATGTATATAACTATAATAGACTTAAAAATGTTGTTTGTGAATAAAAACTGAGGCTTTTTTGCCATTTGAGAGCGATCGATGGAGACAATCAGCACCAAATTGATATTCAGTATGTGTTTCAGAATTGATTGATTGAAATAATACTAAAACACTTAACAAATGCTAAAGTAAATATAAAGAAATGCAGCCAGTTATATCTGCTTATTGCCATCGATAATAGAGCGTAATTTGTAAGCAGTTAAGTAAACAGAGTCATAGACGTTCATTTATGCAACTTTGTAGCCGTTGCCAAGCTGATGGGCAGCTCATCAATCACACGGCGAGAGAACATAAATCAAGCCAACAGTCAAAATCTATAGGAGAAGTGCAGGAAAAACTAGTATGAAATAGGCAGGGCCACATCAGCTTGATTGAGCAACAGTCGTTCAACTTAAGCTCCACTTCCGGCACCAAAGCAACCAAAAGCGACCATAATAAGTAAGACGCGTAATAAAACCAAAATGCTTAGAAGCCACACACAAAAAGCCAAGAAACTGGCAAGAGAGTGAGAGACAGACTGGAGGCTGGGGCTAGGGGCTGGCCCACTGACTGCGCCATATACAGAAGACAGTCTGTTTATTTACGCCGCATCGTATGTAGAAGCTTACATATGGACGCCTCCAGGGCCACGGCGTGGGCGAGGGCAAAGAGTCGGGTATCAGGCGGTAGGCACTGCCAGCCAAGTGCTGGTCCGGTTGTTGCGGCATCCATACGGCGGGGCACATATCACACATGTTGTTCCGAGTACACACGTATGTTGCCTGCAAGCGATAGCGTCAACGTCAACGTTAGCGTTAGCGTCCACGTCGCCGTCGCCGTCTCTGTCGCCGTTGCCGTCGACGTCAGTGTTGGCGTCGCCGTCGACGTCAGTGTTGGCGTCGCCCGTTTTGGGTAGCGCTTGGTCCAAATCTTGGCCAGCAATCGCAGCCAGCACATATGTGCAATCATGTGGAGCCCACCCCAAGGCCCCAATCCAAGCCGAGCGACACTGTGGAGACTCCATTTTGGTTTTGCCATTGGCGCTGGCAGCTGAACACGCCCATCGTATCGTCAGGCGCATGCTCAGCGCCAGTTCGAAACGATTTCGACATCGAATTTCGAGCACAGTTAGTCGAAGGGAATATTTCTCTACGCTCGCAGCTGCTTAGTGTCAAATGTGAGATGCGGCTCAAGCGGCTGGGCGGATGCTACGATTTTTAATCAAAACTAGATAAGATTTTGCAAATATAAAGAATGACAAGTGCAGAGGGGGTTGATGGCGCGGGGTGCGCAGGGTGGATGGGTTAGAGTGGACCACGAATCCAGTGTGTATGAATCATAAATGCGTTAAATTGAAACTTGGGATTTCACGCAGCTTAAGTTTTTTAGCAATTATGAGCGACGAGTGGACCGCCGAGTGCAAGCGAGATAGCCAGCTGAATAATAACAAAAACAGGCGTTAACACTTGTCAGCCGAGACAGGAATATGTCACCTGCAAACCGTAGCGTGGGGCTGCTGCACGATGCTGGCCAAGCGCTGGCTGCTGATAGGACAAATTCAATCAACGCAGTTTGCTCGACCCGCACCACAATAAATCTCAGTTAATATCTCACATAAATTCATATTTATGGTCGAACATTTGAACCTTTTTGTTTGCCAAACACACACACGCACACACACAATCAAAAGTCGATTAGCATGCAACGCCCGATGGCAGTTGCCCGGCCCAAACTGTTGCCCAAGCTGCAAATAGGCAAACGCAGGTAATCGCATTTCAAAAATGTTTGCCCTGCCCATTCCCACCTCAGAAAAACAAACCAATTTTCAACCCCTGCCCAATGAAAACTTCGTGTTGAAAATCTGCTGAAACACAATGAAAATATTTTGCCTTCCACACAAGGCATGGGTAGAGGCAGGGGCAGGAGCAGTGGCTGGGGCTGGGACTTGTGGGCATGACTGTGACAAGTACAAGCCACTTGTGCGTTGATGATAATTTTTACATTTTTGGTAACAGACAGAGCAAGAGAGAGCGAGAGAGAAAGAGAGAGAGAGGGTGTAGATAGGTTGGAGGACGGTCCAGATATCTGAAATCGGCTTATGTCGCCTGCATTGTGCTGACAATGCTGGAGGAGCTTTTGTTTTAACCATGGCATAGATGGGGAGCTGTGGGCCAATCTGTGCGGCCAGGCATTCTATGATTTATGCCCAGTTTTAATTTAAAAGCAATCAATTTCGAAATATGTAACCAAAAAGAGTTTAGGCAGCAGCAAACTTTAAGATAACTTATCAAACGAAAGTTATTAATTGACTAAGAAATGAAAATGGAGGCTGGGGAAAATATGAAACAAAAAGAGTTGAGGCAGTAAGAAACTTAAAGAGAAGTTATTGAAAGTTCAGATTTCAAATAGTAAAGAAGATGCAGAAGAAGATATGCTATAGTTACAAAAAGGTAATTCTACAATAGTTAATATTCATCTTCGTCATCTGCGTCAATTGTTTCTCAGAGGACAAAGGTGTCATTAGCAACAGTCTAGGTAAAAAGAAGAAGAAATCCATTATAAAATTCAATTATGTCAAACATTCAGTTATCTTGATGCATTATGCTTGGCTAATGAGCTGCAGTTGACCAGCGATCGTATCGTTCCAAGGAGCCTCAGCCACCAACGCGAAATCAATTAAAATTTATCACTTTATTTTCATTAAGAGACAAAAGTCAAGAGAAAATCCCCAAGGTGCAATTCGTTATCAATTCGAAGGACAATGGCGGTCAGGATGTGGCTTAACTGTAATTTGTCCCGGCGTCGACGCAGCGTTACGTTCGCGTTATCTCACCAAAAAAGGAAGACAATAAAACGCCGCAGCGTTTGTCGCTTTAAATAATAAAAACATTTGATTTGCCAAAGGCGGCACGTGCCAGCACAAGGAATCAGGAGGAGGAGCCAGGCTGGCAGTGCGCAGCCAAATCGCAGATAAAACCAACGCGTAAATTAATGGCCGACACGTGTCCTTGACGCTGCCACAAGAGCCAACACTAAGGATATAAGTGTATCAAGCATTGGCCGGGCCACTAAGCTGGGAATTGATACTCGGCTTGCCATTGACACTGTCCACGCTGGGTGGTCTCCATGTGTGAATGGGCTGCTTATGGACAACAAATTATCAGCTCTATATGGGATCTGTTTGTTGTGCGACAGCTGATAATTGAGGCGTAAATGTTGACACACGTCCTGAGAACTTCATCCGCCGCCCCTCAGCAGACTCCAAGTGGAGTTTATGGTTGCGACAATGGCCAACCAGATTTATGAGTGCAGCCAGATCATGAGCTTTAGTGCAGCTATTCAGTTTTAGTAGAGCTACTTTCAGTGGCAACAAAGTCAATGATAACCCCATCAAACTTTTATAGAGTATGCAAAGCTCGTGAATCCACCATTTGCAGGCTGCATAAAAAAGTTAATAAGCTGCACCACAAGCCACAAACATCAAATGGCTGAAACAAAGAAGTTCACACAAACAATGGCGCCTTTTGATTTTCCAGTTGATGCGCGATTTTCAGAAACCTTTGACCATATGTGATAAAAATAAAATCGAGATATCAGGGGTGTCGTTGCTCAAATACCCTATATATATTCGCATTAAAGCTTTGTGCAAATCTGACCAAATCGTATGCATTTATGGTGCTTTGATAACTACACTCAATATAGACTAAATTTTATCGGCAGTGACCGACTGAGAAACACCCTGAAACTTCTACCGGGCAGCTTCCTTCAAGAAACAAGATGATGTAGCTGAAGCAAGGAGTGCTCATGATGTGTAAATACTTTATGTGAATCTATATATCAATTTTTCTAAGTCTAACTCTTAAAATTTGTGAAATAAGGTAAGAAAAAAGGGAACTATGAAGAAGCGAAAATTAAATTTTAGCTCAATTTTAATTTTAATTGAAAAAGTTATTATTTGTTTCTTGTATGGGAATTGACGGATGGGTAAACAACGATACAGAGGGATAAAAAAAATATACGGATCGACAAACAAACTAACAACCGGATTGAGATAGATAAACGCAGTATTTGGTCCTAATTAAATATATATTATATATACCAGCGGAAGTCACACACACCATCGGCTGTGACATACGTAAAAATATAGTATATTGTTAAAAATATATCTTATTTAAATATCAAATAATATATTAAAGATATCAAATAAAAGTTAAAGAAACATTTTAATAAAAATTACTTTTATAATTAATTTAACGAACTTTCTGCTTAAACTAAACTTAAAGAATCGCCAGATTGAATAGATACATGCTCGAAATCTCAACAGTTCTCCAGACTGCAGAGCATCCATACATAAACAATCATTAAAGATATCAACCCCTGTGCCCTCCAAACACCACCAATGTTTTTTACCTCATGCATAAGGGTATACAATAAATACTTAAGCCAACCCATGAAATTTAAAACAAAAACTCAAATTCACACCACAAAAGCGACTGCAATACCTGATTGTATGGGACGCTTGACATATGGCCACTTGGTCGCAATAGAAAATCAGTGAAGGATATGCTAACAAGTCGAGCAGGCAAACCAATTGTCAAATAACCACAGGACATGCACTTGGGCGCATCTTGTGTGTGATTGGGCACAGGATGTGTGGAGCCTTGTTGGCTGGCTGGGTTTAATGATGAATATGCTGATGGGGCTGAGATTGGACCGAGTCCAGTTGCTTTGATCCCTGATTGAAGCACAGCTGTGACACTGATTGATGGGCCAGCCGCGATGAGCACGCAGCATCAGCGATTGCTTTAATCGAAATTCTGGGGGGCGGACTGAAACTATGTATAAGTGGTGTCAACTGTGGGTCACATAAAAAATAATGACCAACAGAGATAAAATGTTTTTTTGTTTTTATGTTATTGCTCCACTTCGACAGCGACAGCAGCAGCAGTGGCAGTGGCAGTGGCAGTCGCAAACAATATTTAAATTTAAAAAGTTCCCAATGTTACAGTTAAATGAAGCAGAAGCAAGATTGTCGCCCCAACACAACTGTTTTTTATACCAACTTTTGGCTCCAGCAGACGCTCGCAAAATGGAAAACAATGGCAGAGCCAAAGACACGCCCAGTCCTGATAGACACGCCCACACAATCGAATTTGCACACTGGACACATTTTGGAAATTGATACAGATAGGAGAAAAAGGACACCGGACACTCGATGGAACGAACTATCAAAGTATTTGGCAATAAATCATAAATCAATACCAACGCTGGCTGGCAGGGCAATCGGAAGCGTTTTGTCCCTTGTGTCCTTTTGCTGGCCAAGGGCTGGCTAATGATGTCTTAAAAAACGATTTTGGGCAGGAGACGAAAATAAACGTGGCAATGTCACAAAACGAGGGCAATTGATGTCCCCAGGTCAAACGCATTAACAAAATTGTCGTTTCAGCTGGCGAGGCTCTATTTCAACTACATATATATATATAAATATATGTACATATATACGTGTGTGTCTGGAAAATTGAATTTCCACGGCGCTAAGTGACGACGCCAGCAGAGCAACAATATTCTTCCAAATCGGCTTTAAGTCATGAAAAATAATAGACAACCCTCGACGAGTAGTAAAAAGCAGATTGCGAGGCGCGTCAGCAGCCAAAAAATAAAAAAGATTGTGGAACACATGCTGTGCCGCATATGATGGCCGACGTGGAGGATGCTCAGCGCTTATCAACAGGGAAACACTCATAGGTAGAGTGGGGAGAGCAATGCAACATGTGAGACCCTAACAAAAAATATTAGAAAGAGTATACATATATATGTAAATATATATAAATATAATTGTGTATCCCTAGAGTGAGTTTGTGGGTAGACAAATTGCTAGAAGTTAGTCTTGAGGGCCAATCATTCCATATCCATGTCACCGGGTATCTCTGAATCCTCAATGGTGCGAGTAGCGGGTATATAAACCTTAAAGGCAAACTTAGACTTAACAAAGGAGCCGGTGTTCAGTACGGTGCAGTCGTGCTGAGTGCTAGCAAAGCTTTGACACGAATCACCCATCACAATGAGATCGGGCAGCGGGTATAGCCACAGTGCTGGATCGTAATCCCAGTGCACGGGCATCGCTATGGGATGTATGGGCACCAAGTGTCCCTGACAGACGAGCGTGCGTGCAAAATGCTGCTCAATGTGCGTTGTATCTGGCGGAAAGTGCAGTGTATTGCGACAGAACTTGGCCATAAGATCCAGCCGACAGACGACAATCTGTTGAGTGCAATACTGAAGCCGGCAAGGATTCGTGGCCAGCTGGGTGCGAGGCCAAGCCTTGAGCAGGCCAGCGGCCAGACACTCGGGCAATGGTGCGCGTGGCAGAATATTTGGGGCTGTTGGATCCTCTGCAGAGGGCACCAGAATCAAATCTGTTTGCTTTCTAAGCTGCTCGCAGCCGGCAGCCAAAGCGCCCAGTGCATCCAAATGCTGACGCAGCTCATGATGATTGCGCGTGCTGGCTGTAAATGGTCCCATCAATACAATGGCTTGCGGCGGACAGGAATCATAGCCGACAAAGAGCTGACGCAGTTTTTCCATAACAATAGGCAGATCCAAACGCACATCGGACAGGAACACAATCGTTGTCTCCGTATTGGTGCGTTCCACTTCCTGCAAACGAGGCGAGTATTTTAGTAGCTTAGCAGGCTCACCGCCCCAAGTATTGCCCGTGCCAAAGAAGGCGCGACTGCTGCTGGCTGGCTCTGCGGGCGGAAAGCCCAGACCATCGACTGTAGAGAGAATCAAATCACTTAATGCACTGCTTCTCTTGGTTCAGTTCAGTTGCAACTCACCTTTCAATACTCCATTTGCATAGCTGCCCTCTGCTAAGACAAAACAGCCCTCGCAGAAGAAGCCGGCATGAAAACGAGCACCACTCAAGTCAAGTTGCACGCAACCTGTTGGATCCTCCACGAAGAATTTGCCCTCTTTTAACTGAGTGAGCAAGCCCAATACAACAGCCTCCTTTAAGTTGGATGTGGCCAGTAAATTTTCTGCAAACTGCAATTTGAATTTTTTGGTTTGTGCATCAGCTGCAACGCCGTCTTGTATAACTGCCGGTGCAAATAGATCATGACGTAGTGTCTTCTGCAGCAGCATTGCATAGCGTTGTTGCATATAATCAGATTTCATTCGAGGCTGTGGCAGCAGACGCCGAGGTTGCGAGTCCAACTCGAACTTCTTGATACGCGTGTTGTATCGATAGCGGGGCACAGTGAATGCATTGATAAGTGAAAATATAGTCTCGCCCTCATCCAGACCAACGCGATTTAGTTCATTGATCGCCTTTTCCAAGGCATCTCGTTCTACATGCGGCGTCGCCAGTTTCTGACCCTGCAAGTTCTCCGTTATGATGGTCATCCATTTCTCACGTTCGGTAGGCTCGAACGGCAGCAGCTGTTCGGCGAGATAGGTGCTGTTTTCGGAGCGAATTAGAAAACCACATAGCTTAAACGAAGTTGTGATGCGCTTTCGCAAATGAGCTAATTCGTCCATGGTCGACGAATTAATATAATTCAACACAAACACAACCTGTTGACACTTTTACGATTTTGGCGCCATTTGAACTAGAGAGCGAACGAACTAATACTGGACCAAGAGCAGCGCGGACTTTACAACACTACCATTTTGTGGTGGCTCGTCGATTAATTTGAACTCAAAATACAAATCAATATCAAAATATGTTTATTATATATTATTATGTTAGTTATCACAATCACTTTCCATATTCTCTTCCTTGATAACCTCCTGCTGCTCCTGTACATTGAGCTTCAATTGAGCAATTGCATCGTGAAGTGCTACCAGTTTACGCGAGCTGCTTCTCAAATTCTCTACGCGTTGGCGGGTGGCTAAATAACAATCCAACGCATTTTGGTTATCTGAGTTGTCTTCGTTAACAATTTTCTGCATAAGCTGCTGAAATTGTTCCAATATCTTTATCAGTGACAACTCACAATCGGCACTAAAATCATAAAGATTTTCCGACTCGACATTCTCTTTTAATGGCGGTGTCATCGAAGCCTGCTCTTCAATCTGCAAAAGCGTGTTGTTGGACCTTTCCATGATTTCACCGATCTTATTTCCCTGCTTGATCATACTCTGTCTTGCTGTGGCTGCAATTTTGGTATATAATGAGCTTATTTAATTGAAATATTTATGGGTAATTACCGAGACCCGCCAATACATCGTCTATTATTTCAGACATTTTAAATGTTGTTTTGATCGTGCTGCCAAAGTTACTATCGTATTCATATCAAAGAACAGTGGTTCAGTTCGCAATGAACCAGTCCTTTTAGACAGTGATGCCACTATACTAAAGTCTACCTGGTACGAATTGAAGCTATGCGATGTCAACAAAATCTATTATGGTTTCCATTACTCAACAAATAATACCTAATATGTCTTTAACGACTTGCTTTTTAAATTCCATACTGTTCTTACCTTATCAGTGCAGTTTACAGGTTAATTTTAAAAAGTTTATCAGAAATCAAATATGTGCGCGCTGGAAATAACATTTTGAAATATGTTAAGTCTCTAAAGCAGCCACAAGTAGTTCAGTTCCGTTAATGAACTTTTTTATGGTTCACGCTCTGAACTTGACAGGCCAACGCACGTGTATAAATATAAAAGAAGTTGGATTGCTGTTTATTTCACACAAAATGGATGTAGTAAAGGCAGTTTTGGAAAAGCATCAAAAAGAATTGGACAAATATAAGCCAATTACTGTGGAAAAACATCTAGAATGTCGAATTGATGTTGGCACACTTCTCATCACAGATCCAAATGATTTGGACGACCGGCAGCTGGCGTAAGTAAAACTCGCAAACCAAATTATGAACATTTCATTTAAATGATGACGACATTCAGCAACAACAAGGAGGAATACCTGTCCGCCCTAACACGTGAGAATACACAACTACTGGTCAATGCAATTTGGGAGCTGCCAACCGAACGCGTCGACGAGAGTATTGTAGCAAAGTTACCGGAGCCAACGACAGTGCTGCCGCGTCTACGCAAGCCTCCTGGTCCACGACCTCTGACAAAATGGGAGAAGTTCGCCAAGGAGAAGGGCATCACAAAGAAAAAGAAGGATAAAAAAACTTACGATGATGTCCTGGACGTAAGTAATCAAACATTCATATGAATGAACTTGCCTACTCACATTCAATCTCACAGAAATGGGTACCCACTTATGGCTTCAAACGTGCCGAGGCTGAAAAAGATAAGGAGTGGGTGTTGGAGGTGCCCCAAAATGCGGATCCCAACACAGACATGTTCCAGAAGAAGATCGATCTGCGCAACGAGAAGGTGGCTAAGAACGAGATTCAACGTATGAAGAATATTGTACGGGCCAAAAAGATTGATATGCCACGCAGCGGCTATCTGGGCCCAGAGGCTGCATCTTCCAATCAGCTGCTTACGGCCGTAACCGTTGCTAAGTCCTCGACTGCATCGGTGGGCAAATTCCAGAGCAAACTACCTAAAGAAAAGGAAGCCCGTGGTCTTGGTGTTAAGGAGCTGATACCAGGTGGCAAACGGAAAGCATCGCATATCACAGCACAGCCTGAGCGGGAGGCCAATTTGGATCTCATTAAAAGTGTGTTGAACAAGAAGCCCAAATTGGATGTTGAGAAGGCGATATCGCTGCAAAAACAAGATGAGCGGATAGAGTAAGTCATGAAAGGCCGCACCAAAATTCTAGTTATACTAATTGTAAAATATTTCTAGGCGGGAAGCTGAGGGCGCCAACAGACCAGCGAAAAAGGGCGGAAAGAAGGGCAAGGGCAGTCGCAAGGCAGTTGGCAAGAAGCCCAAGGGTCATCAAGGCCAGCGTGCGCCGGGCAAGAAGGGTCAGGCCGGTCGCAAGCGTCGCTAAATCAAAATTGGCCACTTTTACTAGGACTTTTTATTAACAAAAAACACAATTTACATGATAAATACAATGATAATATTTAAGCCACATAAAAACTGCAATTCTATCTACGATGGAAACGTAGATCAATGGGCACGCTATGTCGTCTCAGATATTCGTAGACGAAGTTGCGGAAGATTCGGTTAAAGTTGCGAATTGAAGGCCAATGGAGATTGGCAGCATTGTCGTTTGGTGTGTGCCAATTGGCTGGAAAAGGTGTCGCTATCAAGTGCAATACAGGCACATTCTCCTCCAGAAACGGGCGATGATCGTCATCAGTAAATCCGCCAGCGGGACGATTTAGAAACATTTTGTTGTTGCCCTCCAGCTGACCAGAAGCGCGCAACGTTTGCTCGATCTGCACTAGACTAGAATGCAAGCCGTCCGTATTCTCAAAGAAGCTGGAAAATGTTGGATTGCGTGCACCAATCAAATCAAGTAACACGAGCACCTCCTAACCAAGATAGATGTTTAATAAATAGTTCAGAGCCACTTAGCTAAATCAGCTACTTACAATGCGATCAATGCGACGGGTACCCGGGCCCTTTGACGTTGCAGTTGGGCTGCGCGTTTGAGCAAGCTTTGTGACCAAGTGACGTGAACCATAAACCGAATCCGTACTGGTCCAGTCCCTGAAGGCTTCCTCGCCGTCAAAGAAGATAAGCTATGAAGTTGAAAACCAATTCGTTTGATTATTTATAATTAAATGGAAAGTAAATCACATTTTGACGCACCATCAAGCCGAGATCATTACGATTACGGAATTGTTGCAGCAGATAGTTGTTCAGCGTTTTTGCCGTGTTCAAGAGTATAGCACAGGGCACAGCCGAATCGGTGGCACCGACAAATCCGGGATCTTCCGCAAAGTACTTGCTATCGTAGTGGCAGGCGAGTGCCAAGAAATTTTGCGCTTGCGGATTGATGTAGCCGATGACATTGGCAAACGTGAGCTCGCCAAAGATTGGTACACTTTGTTTAAACTCATCCACTTCCGCTTGAAAGCCAAGGGCTTTTAGTGAAGTAACTAGGTAGTTGCGGACCTGCTGATGGCCACGGCTACCAACAACGCGCGGCACCAAAATGGCTTCCAGACTTTTATTAAAATGTACCTCATCATCAGCCAGTTGCGTTGTGTGCAGCTGTTGATAAAAGAAAATCATCATTTTTAACTAAGGGGAATTTCTATCAACTTACGTTGGCCTGTTGGGAGCGTGCGTAATCAACTACTACGATCAGCCCAACGATGATCAAAATATAACCAAAAGACCCCTTCACCATCATATTCACATTCAGCGTCTGAACAAAAGAAAGCTTTATGGAGCACTGAAGCTGATCGCTTTACGTATGGAATATTGAAACCAATTACCATGGTTGTTGCTATATTCTCTTATGCTTTTGCTGCTTTTCGTATGAATGCTAACAATCTGTGTTGTTGCTCTGCTCTCACGCATTGCGAGCAAGCAATGTGTGTGTGTGGAAAAAGCTTTTCACCTCGAGTTTCAGTAGAGCTTTGAGAGTATGCACGCGCTTATTCCACAAGCACGCACTGGCTAAGTAAAGCTTGTGAGAAAAAAGCCCGCTTTTAAATATTTATTATGCATGACACGTAAGCTCATTATACGTAAGCTCATTACACGTTATCTCTGAAGCGTTATTAACAGTGACAATTGTGCGTTATTTTCAAAGATATTCTCATTTGGCTTTGTACTTCTATTCAAATGAATTCATAGAACTTTTATTTATGGCCCACCATTAGGCAACACAAATGAATATTTGTGAACCAATGATGAGAGTTCTTCATGATTTTGTAAATACTCGTAAACAAAGTGAGCCAAAATCAAATTCATATTACGTATTGCTGGCCAGTAGAGATTCGTTACATTATCCATCTGTGTATGCCAATACTCCGGATAAGCATGAGGCACAATATGCATAGATGGCACGCCTACAATTAAATAAAATTAGATCCAACACTAAATAACGTTTTCTGCAATACAAACCATTACTTAGAAAGGGATAATGATCATCTTCAATGTCGCTCTCATGATCTTTTATCTTATGGAACAGCGTATGGCACTTGGTGAGCTGACCTGATTTGCCCAGCTTCGTCTCTATGTCTACCAGACGCTCATGCAGTCCATATGTATTCATAAAGTGGCTCAGAAAGATATGATTCGGTGCACCAATAAGGTTTAATGTAATGAGTACCTCCTAGAGAAAGAACGTATGAGAAAGATATATCTTTCACGTATGGGTACTATGTCAACCCACAATATTCAGCAGTGGTATAGTTTCCACCTGAGCAAAACGTCTCGAGCCAATAAGAGAATTATAATCTTCTTCGACAGCCAGCGTGGACTCGTGTCCATCAAAGAAAACTAACTAAAAATAATACAAAATATTACTCAGCTATCAAAAATACAATTTACTTATTATTCAGGACTCACCACTAGGCCAATGTCGTCTCTATTGGAGAACTCTTCGCGCAGATATGCATTCAATGTCTTGGCGATGTTGAGAAGGATCGCACAGGAGACGGCCCCATCTGTGGCGCCCACATAGTGTGGAGCGGTTGGCAAGAACTTCGAGTCGTAGTGGCAGGTGAGCATCAAGAAACGTGTGGCATCTACATTCAAAATACCCAAAATATTTGTGTATTTTCTTTGATCGAACAGCTCCTCGCGAATCGCTAAAAATCCAAGTGAATTTAGTTGCTCGAACAGAAAATTGGCAACTTCAGCATGACCCCGGCTTCCAGACCAGCGAGGCTTCAGGATGCTAGCTAGTGTGTCATTAAAATAGATCTCATCGCATATAATTTTTTTCGAATTTGGCCAAATATGCAGGAAATATAGTAAGTCGAGCAGTATCAGAAGAATAATGGCCACTGTCGATATAACTCGCGATATGCGAAACATTTCTGGATACTCAACGAGTTCGAAGTAGATGGAAACTAATCTAAGCAGCTCAAGAAACTCTACAACAGAGTGGAACGAAATCATTTGCTATAGTTAGTAAATAGAATTCGAGCGAATTGAATCCGATTATACACAAATACATTATATTTTCTATATAATAATAAGTACAAGACATTTCTAAAATATACTACTATAAAAGATATTGAGCGATGCTCATTTCCAACTATTTTGGCTTACTTACTGAATCCTCTGGGCGTAAATTTTGTACCCTTTCCAAAACTTCTGTATTTTGACTGATTACCGATGGCACTCGGGATGTTTGAATAAAGGCGTTAGCGTTTGATTTTTGTGGTTTAACCAGGGCTAAGCGATGCAGTTTTTTGGATCGAAACTCGCCGCGGGATTGAGTGCGCAGGCTGGAACCCTCGTGCCAGGTGTGCTTGACATGTACTATGCGTTTCTTGCCTTGGCCGCAGCACGGTTGATGCCACATACGCTGATTCTTGCCAAAGTTGTTGCCATCGCTGAGCGTTTGCGGGAGATCTTCATTCAGTGTCTCTGGCAGGAATAAGCAAATGAAACCACCCAAAATACCCAAAGCGCCCAAAGTGTTCAGCATCAGTGCGAGAGATAGATTGGACAGATAGATAACCGGCGGAGAAAGCAACATGGCAGCAAATCCCAAGGTATGTATAAGTGATATCCCCTGTGCTCGTACCACCGTCGGCAGCACCTCGGCGGCCCACTGCAATCCAATGTTGTAGCAGACGTTGGCAAAGAAGCGACCTGCCAAAGCAGCCACTAGAGTAGAAGTGGCATTAGTTAGATTGGCGCCCAGTAGACTAAACAACCCGCTCAACATGGTAAAGGTGAAGGCGCACCAGCGACGTCCGAAGCGATCCAGTGTGACGATGACGAGCAGGTCGCCGGGCAGCTCTGTGGCGCAGGCTATGGTAAAGACCACGGCCACATTCTCTTTGTCCAGAACTGAGGCAGCACGAACATGGCCATCGTATAACAATGACATTATCATCCAGATCAGGCACATGAATACCATGTAGCGTGCCAGACGGCGACGCTTGAAGATCGAACAGACGGTAAAGTTGCGACCCTCAAATTCCTCCTTGTAGAACAGTTCGCAGCTCTCGCGGAATCGCTTCCAATAGTTTTTTGAGACCACGCGCTTATTCCTAGCTGCCACTTTCTTTAGTATATTAATGGCGTCATCGATCTTGCCCCTCGAGACCAGCCAACGCGCCGACTCAGGCAGACAACAGTATGAAAATAATCCGAAGGCCAGCGGTATGCTGCCATATAGCGCCAACGAACGCCAACTGTGCAGATATATGGCTATCCAGGGTATGACCATTGTGAACGGCGAGTAGAACATGGCCAGCGACATATTGGCCACGAATGTTCGATACTTGGGACCCACATATTCGAGCACTACAATTTGGAATGAATGCGAATGAATGGCCAAAAATGCATAAAGAAAGCGGTTGCGAAATACTCAGTATATAGATCATGGTGAAACAAGTATCAAAGGAGGCACCCACGACCAGACGTGTGAAAGCAAAGCTCCAAAAGCTCTTGGTCATCCCTGTAAAGAGGCTGCCGAAAAATGCCAGAGAGGAGCTGCTGACCAATGCAGCCAAACGCCCGCAATGGTCCGCAAAATGTCCGTAGCCCAAGCAGCCCACAACTGAGCCGAGAAAGAAAATCATTTGGGCATAAGTGGCATAGAAGTCATTCTTGCAAACCCAGCCGAATTCGATGTTAGCTGTGAAAAACTGCTCGTTTTGACTGAAGACATAACCATCCCGGCAGGGTATTCTTGGCAGCGAGCTGTTTATATATTGGCTGCGATTTGTGGCATGATAGACGGCCGTATAGTTGGTGTCGTACATTTCACAGCGACTGTAGCTGCCGTCTTTCAGCTTGGGTATGGACAGCTGTTTGCGTTCCTCCTCGCTTTTAATGAGCTTCAGCTCATGCACGAAGCAATAATAATGCTCGGCCGGCAGGGTCATAAAGATCTGACTCAGATACACATAGGCGGATATATAGCAAAATGGTATCATTAAGCTGAACAAGATCTTTTGAAAGCATCCGAATTCGCCAATTTCCGGCAAAAGGTCATCGAAGTCGATATTTGTATCGATATCACTAAACGACTCATCAAGTCCCGAGGGGCTGTTTTCATAGGGGCTACGAAAATTTGGAATGTTTGAAGAAACGTTGCTTGTCTGTTGAGCTTTATTGGCTGGCGGTTTGACTGACTTCGATGTCCGTTTCTCTTGAGCCTTATCGCTAGATATACATGTGATGCATGAATTCATATGAATAGTTCAATACTCACGTACTATCCCGTTCATTCCGCGTGGCTTGAGTTCCGAAGTCCCTTTTCAGCATTTCACTTACCATCCATATCAAACAGAATCCGACGCTGACAAAACAAATATGTATGAAAGTCAGTGAACCGCCTATTTCGATTCGAATGCTCAGTGATTCATCAAGTTTCCAAACGACTGCTCTCGCTTCCTGTCAGACGACAATCTGCGGCTTATCGACGCCATCGATGACCATTAGTCATAGTCCTTTCACAGCCACGAATTCACGACTCATTGTAGCATCGTTTAATTGCCCGCCAAGCCAACTCGCCCACTCCTAATCAAAATTGATGCACAGGGCAATCCGTGCAGATTTCTGGCTTACAATTAAACTAAATGAAGACCCTGTTGTGCTGGCAGCACTGGACCGAGTGTATATATTGCGTATACGCCGCATGAGCCGCGACCACCCGTTGCATAGCCGCGCTGCATGCAAATCGGCCACTGCCAATGCCAAATGCCGCCTGTTGCTGTTCGGGCCAAGCGCATGCGTCGCCCAGCCTGCATGTGGGGTGGCCCTTTCGAACTCTCATTCATAAAGTGCCGTACGCTATTCGAAACGTTGGCCATGTTTCGCGTAGCCAAATACAATTCGAAACAGTTCTGGCGCGTCTTTCAAAGCGATTGGTTGTGGGACTCGATTCGGAATTCAGTTACGTTCGCGTGCCGCATAGAAATACACTGCATAAATCAGTGTCATAAATCTGCGTGTGTTGTGCATGAAATCAAGTATCCGTGTTTAGAGATAAGATAAGCAGCCCAATGACAGGCCGCAAAATATCCTAGAGAAAAAGGAAAAAAACGGCAGCAATAACAAGCCGGCGGCGCTCTAAGACAAACTGCCGCCCAGTGCCCCAAAACAAGTGTCAAAAAGTAATGAATAAGTGGCGGCTGCCGCTACACAACTGATTCCCCCAATGTAGTTGCTTATACATAAATACATATGTATATATTTACACATAAGATATTGGATTAAGAGCCCTTCGCGATGGCGATACTTGAGTCCTGCTGCTTTTGGAAGAGCGTGCGGAAGGGCAGCTTCGCCTGCGCCTTTTACACTCTGGTGGGTAATCAATTATGCGAGATTTTGATTTGCATGACGAACTTTAACAAGACAAACAACAGTTAGGCTTATCCTTTTGACAGACACTAAACTTAAGCTAAAAATCATGCAGAAACTTAAAAGTCACAAAGTGAGAAGCTAAACCAGAAGGAGATTATAAAGTAAGCTGTAAAGTCAACGAAGTAAGACAACTTAAAGTAAGAAAGAAGCAAATTTGAAACAAATGTTAAAGTTAAGTGAGAAGCACACTGAGTAGAGTAGCGCAAGATGTGAAGCGTAGAGATGAATTGTTGTCAAAATCAATGCAAGAAACAAAAAGACAAAGTAGCCAAGCGACAAACTAAATAAGTAACAAAGCAAGAAGTACATTAAGATGCAAAGGGAGAAGTCAACTGAGAGAGAAAGGAAGCACCAGTGAGTGCAGAAACCAATGCAATAAATGAAGCGAGAATTGAACCAGGTAACCAGGCGAAAGCGCAAGTTTGAAACAAAGCGAGAAGCAATGCGAGGCGTAAGAAAACGTAACAAGTCAAGCGAAAGGCGGAAGTAATTGCGTGACAAAACGTTGAGCCAAGCGAGCAACATACTGAGAAGCAAAGCGTAAAGCGACAAAGAACTAAACATGAAGCTCCAGCAAAAGCGAATTACTCTTCTGCTGTTGTCATTCCAAACAAAGCATTTGATTCCCGAAGGAATCGGGTTACGACAGATACCATAAAAGAAATGTTGAGGCAACAATTTCAGCATGCAACGAATGTCAAACAAGTTCGTTCAATCAGGAAAAACATCCGACAACAAACCACAAAATTTGCAATCAATTAAGACGCTTAATCGAATTGAAGAAGCTGAAAATGAAATCAGAATCTGTGAACTTGCTTTATGTTTGCTGATGAATGCACACCTTTTAACGATTTGATTTTGATTATATTTTTCCTAGATCTACTTTGGCCTGTCAACCTTAATGTTTACGTTTTATCTGAAAGAGGAGCAGGAGTTCTTGCTCGGCCAAAGGACACAGCCACTTGGGGAGAGCATATTGGAGAAGGGTGATGTAACTGTAGGTGAGAGAAACATCTTGGACTAGAAGCCACATGCCACATGCTACATGCTACATGCCACATCTAACATTTGTTGATTGACGTAATTTGTGATTGCAGTAACTGTGATATTCAACGTTTTGTTTTTGTTTTGCTCGATTTTGATGGTCTTGGCGTCCCTTTTGCTGATTGTGGGACTGCGGAATGTGAGTGGGGAGGTTACAAATGGGTCCTTGACATTGTCTATCAGTTCACCTATTCCTCTCTCATCTAGAACAAACGTCAATTGCTATTGCCCTGGATTGGTCTGATGCTCTGCGATTTGCTTATTGAAATCGCCCACCTGGTACATCTCACATTGTCACGCCGGGTGGTTTTTGATCCAATTGTCGGCTTCATATTCACCCTAGACTTCTTCATACTCTGTCTGAATGTGAGTGGCCAATCCGTTGACATCTGCTTCAAATTCCGTTTCCTAATTAGTTTAAAAATTGATTCGATTTCAAGCTTTACTGTTTGCTCTGTGTGATATCACAGTATCAGGTTTATCGCACACAACGTGCCGAACAAGAACAGCATCCCGCGCTATCGGTGAGTTCTCGTGGAAATATGTAAAGGCAAATGCAATCAAATAGCTCTGTTTCTATTCAACTAGCCCACAGTGGTCTTCACAGCACCCGAGAAGCAGAGCAAAACAAAGCGTCAGCTGTTAACAGCAGCAAATGCTGGCAAGGGCAAGAGGCATTCGCTTCGGCTACTGGCTGCGAGTCCTTTGATCACGTCACAGCGGCCAACCAACTTTTCCACCATCACCGAAGAGGAGGAGCAGCAGAGCAAAGCAACTGCAACACCAACGGCAGCTGCTTCAGGTATTAAAGAGCCAAAGGACACCTAAGGACATTAACAATGCTTCTGCTCGTTTCAGCTGCCAATGGCCATAACGATAACGGTCACATACTAGAGCAGTCGACACCCCAGTCAAGCGAGGCGGCAGAGGCTTCTAATCTCGATATACCAATTATTACTTTGGATCCCAATTCGCTACAGTGATGCAGCTGCTGCGTTTGACATCGCTTGGTCCACAATGGAGTGGACACACACACAAAGTTCAACTATTTTTACATGTATGCAAAAGTAAAATTCTGAGAAATGCTATCAAACACAAGTGTCTCTACATCCGTCGTCTACAGAACTAATTTGCAGCTTCCGCTCACTGCTGCCTTAATTTCCTGTGCCCCGCAGACAACTTAGGCAACTTGCTGTGTTGAACTAGAGCAGAACCAGCAAGCGACATGCGATTGACAATGATTAACGTGGCACACGAATTTCATTCATTAATACTCTCAAAGGCTAAAAGTGATTTGTGTCACTCTGTGTAACAGGTGAATGAAATGTAAATTGGCAGGTGGAGGTATAAAGTGTAATGCTGATTGGCCTCAACAGTCAAATGTCAGCTTGATATATGATATATGTATTTGGATATATTTCATTCAATATTTGAGGACAATCGTATTTAGGGACTATGCCTTGGCCTTGTCTGCTATACCTGACCTCAATATCCTCAGATCAAATAGCAATGAACTTTGAAGTGGTCTAAGAACGTATCTGCCATATTTTTCTATAGGACGAGGGCAAGAAATTGGCTTCAACAGTCAAATACCAGCCTGAACATTTATATTTGTCTATGGGTATGTACGCTCTTTGATATTTAAGGACAATCGCCCTTAAACAAAAAGTAATGAACTTTGAAGTGCCTTAAGACTTAGCACAAAGGTAAGAAATAGGGCAGCCCATGTGTGGGTGTTTTTTGAATAGGCGTACTTTTCTCTATAAATATACATTTATAAATTTATAAAAGTTAATGAGAAGCTCTGCATAGTGTGTAGGGTATCCCATAGTTACGCCTAGCTTATTTGACTAGCACTGAAAGGTAGAACCTGCTCTGCCAGCAGGCAACTTAAAGCAGCTAACAAAATAGAGGTAATAGAATATCAGACTCAAAAAAGGCAAACGGCAATAAAACAAGCACACAGACATATGTCAGAGCATATGTAATATATACAAACAGTAATGCATCACAATTAATGTGCATCACAAGTAAATAGTAATGCAAACAATTTAGAAGTTTATATAAAAGTGATTGACTAAAGTTTTTATACCGGAGAAGTTCGGCGAAGGTCAAGTGCAAAGAGAAAACGATTTAAATTTGATTAATGCAGCTCGGGAGCTCAGCTTAAATGTATTCTACTTAGAATTAACTAATTAAATTTTAAGCAACCAAAGCCAGCTCTAGCTGAGAGGTTGCCTGACAAATTGCTGCCGGCGGTGCGTATGCAATGGAAGTGGTTTAAAAAGTTCGTGTTTGCCAGCCAGGAGCACACTTGCGTATCTGGCCGAAGGGTAGAGTCATTTAATGTCACTTAATCACTCTCTTAGATTGGATCTCTTAATTACGAGCTGCACGGCGTACTGCGTATAGCTGCAGGACCTGCAGCATCCGCTGAACTGTGAATGACAGCGCAAAAACTACATTAAGTTTGAGTGTGTGCAAGTGCGTGTGTGTGCAAATTTGTGCTAGTGTGTGTGTGTGTGTGTTATCAATGTTGCAACAGTTGCCACAGCTGCGCACAGGTTTACAGAGTCTGCTCTATATGTGTGTTAGAACAAACACTGAGTCTGTTTGCCAAGCTACAAACAAAGTACCACGAACCACTCAACCACTCTGAAACACACAGTCACACAGATGTCCAAAGTCACAGTGCACCACTTAGACCCTTATTAGCTGCTGAAAAGTCGAAATTCTGCTGAAATATCAACACAGCTGTCGGACTTATCCCAGCCAACCAAAAGATAATAACTCGACGACAAGATGTCGCAAAACCCATTGAAAGTGGCTTTTTAATGGTTTTCGCTTTTAATTCATGTTTTTTTTTATTTTTTTTTTTTTATTTTTTATTTAAGTGCTACTGTGAGAGAGAAAGACAGAGAGTGGTAAAGAGAGAGAGAGGACGCTTAATCCGAATTAAATCAAGAGTGCAAGCACGCTTAACCCGTGGCAATATTACGTTAATACAAAAAACGTTTTTCGCAGAAAAAAATACATTTCACCTCAGTTACTAAAAACTATGCTATCCAATTAATGTGCTTACGGTATATTTGCGGGTGTTATACAGCTCAGCATAAATTAATCAATATCCTTGAGTGAAAAATTGCTATTTTTGTGTATTTTTTGCTTTTGAATCGAAAAAGTTTGAATTTTGTTGTAGTTATCAGATTTATTGCCGTGAGCAGCAGCAGCTTTTGCTCAAGTTGAACATTTTTGTTTCAAATTGATTGTAACTCATTCGATTAGCGAATTTTAAGCATGTTTAAACTAAACAACCTAGACGAATTATATCCATTGGCGTACAGGATATAAGAATCTTAAATAAATATCCCAATTTATAACAAACAATCAAAAAAATGGTAAGCACTTCAAGTCTGTATGGGCATGGCTTTAACGTCTACCTTAGACGAAAGTGTCTCCCTACACAGTCAACGACTCCAGCTTCACGTGTACTACGGGAGAGCTTTAAGCGTGCCGCATGCTCCAATTACAATTACGTGGCAGACCATCGCAATAGAGATAAGTTATGTATTAGAGAACAAAGAATATTTATTTGTGAGTGAAATGTATTTAAACTAAAATTGCTGTAGCACAAACCATAAGTAACTTGCTCTACTGAAGACCAAAAATGGTTTCTACCATTAAACATTAAGTATCTAAGATTAAGATATATTTAAATTGGGTAAAGTTTCTAATAGTTCGACTAACTTTGATTACAAAACCGCGTAACTTGACTTTAAGTCACTTAAACATATCTTAATCTTCAAATATTATACCTCTTTCCGCTCGTTCCATTCTCTATCCAGCCAAAAATAGTAAGAAAGCAACCCACGAGAGTGCTTTGTGCTGTGCCCTTTCGGGCATTTCATAGAACAGGAGCACTCTACCAAGCATGCCGTACGTAAAAGTTGCGCGACTGGCATTATTGCAGGAATTTCATTTCAATTAAAAAATTGTTCAGTTTGTGGGAAAAGTTGTTGTGGAATTTGGCAGTGAACTAATATTTATGCGGATCTGTTGACGCGTGTAATAAATATGCATTAAAGTTTCAGAGTAAGCGTACAGCGTACATAAATAGAAAATTCGCCACGGCGACCGTGAAATTGTATGCATAACTTTGAAACCCATCAACAGAGATTTTGATTGCCCTTGTCAATCCTTGCCGCGATTGCCATTGCGATTGCGATTGCGATTGCCATTGCGAGTCCCACAGCTCTCACATTTGCATAGCAAAGTTTTGAGCTGGCTGCCACACCATGCCGCCCACGCTCATGTCAGCTGCAGTGTAATTAGAAACGAGCTGAAATCTACTTGCCACATAGCGAGGCACTCAAGCATCATATGTGGCGCAACGTAATGTCTAATTGCGGTTTCAGCGATGTTATGGCTATTATGGGTTTTCCATTAGTGTTGAAGTGCGAACGGTTATTACAATAATTGCCCGACCCCGGTTAGATCCTGGCCCGAGCCAGCTCAACTAGTGCTTAAGTGAGAATTCAATTACCACACAAGTGAACTGAAGCATCTCTCGGCACAAACACGCGCTCAACGCTTGTGGTCTAAGGTCGTTTAATCGCAGACAAACTTTGCTATAAACTTGGCGGCGGCAAGCACAGAGCCTGCCATGCCACTTGTGGCACGATACATTTTACGTATTTCATAAAACACAAAAATTGTACCCAAATAAAAGAGAAACAAACTGTCACAAAATGTTGCTGTGTCGTGGCAATGGCAGCCCCACATAAATAACAAAGTCGCAAAGACACTTACATAAGTTGATTAAATTCTATCTCCGTGCGTGTGAGTGTGTGCGTGTTTTTTGTTGTTGCATGGATACTTGAATTAAATGGCACAAGTTGTCATCAAATTTAGTCGAGGGGCTCTTTAAATTGGCCAACATATCAAAATGTTTACAAATTTAAGGCACATGCTGTGAGTCCTTGGCTGCCGCTTGATTTATTGTATATGACAACTGAGCAATGTTATATTTTAAGCCATAGATATTCAGTCATGCTCTGTTTGTCACTTGCCTTTATTGCGTATACGCAGCGTGCGGCAGGCAACAAGCGGCGCTCGCCACACCAAGACGACCCCAAGTTTACAGTACTTGGACATTTACGAGCCTCTCAGATTTACGAGCATGTATATTTAGAGATCTTTATGTACACATAGACATACATATATTTTTGCAATACCACAGATGCCAGGCACTCACTCAATGAGAAAATTAGCATATAAAACGAGACAGATTAGCACATCAGGCGCACGAATCTAGTCTGCAAATGAATTGAGAGTAGCTAAAGAGATGTGCGATATGAATTATGAATTATGCGTGCACATAAATTAAGGCAAAACACCATAAAGACTTTGCTGGTAAATGGATCTACAACAAAATATAAAAATTGTATAATCAATATTAAGCATACGCACAGAAATTTCATTTTATGTACTGTGCGGCCTTTAACACAAGAATATAAATACAAGGATTAAGACTATGAAAAGGAAATCAGCTTATAGATTACAGATGCATATATATGTATATATAATAATACAATTCTCCTATAGTTGTCAGGTTTAAAAGCCGCTGAGTGTATGGAAATTTGTAGATTTTCTGTATGAACATACTGAATATATATTTAATATTGATTCGGCAATTTATTTATTTTAATATATATATATATGTTCAGCACGTTTATACACATAATCTACAAATTTCAGCAGCTTTTAAAGCTGAAAACTATACGAGAATTAAATTTATAGGCGCTTAATGATTAATTGAAGCTCGAGTCACACAAATTTAAGGAGTATTTGGCAGTCGTCTAGCTCATGCTTTATCAAGTTTATTTGCCACAAATTTCCATTATATATTTCTCAGCTCAGCAAAGTTCTATTTGCTGTATAAACAATGGAAGATACAATGGAATTATTTCATCTGTATTTAAATTTGCTCTGCAAAGAAGTTGAAAAGGTATCAAAAGTTAACAAAATAAAAGCTTTAAGTGCTAAATAAATAAATAG